TAGAGTTTACTGCAAATGACTCCAAACAATGACTTCTCGTGTGTTCGCCTGTCTAACCATTAACTGTAAAAATCCCAAAACTATACTGTAATACAAATTGTGTTGCTTTTTATATATAGATATTTTTTGGGAGAAAATTTCATATCAAATAACACTTGACTTTAAGTAACAAAAACAATGCTCTCCTTTAGGAGAGAGAGAGAGAGAGAGAGAGAGAGAGAGAGAGAAATGTGGAAATATATCCGAGAATATAATATAATATATTCCATCACATAATGACCTCCATATACCATACTGTAGTATCCTAAAGTATATACAATACTTAAGTTGTATATAATATTGAATATAATTTTCAAGTTTATTGTATACAAAATGTATAGCAAGGAGTGGAATATCTCATTCTTCATATCATATATTATACACACTATTATATGTGTTATAGATTTATATAATATACGCTGGATGTGTATTATTAATGTGTTTTTGTCTTATCATAACATAACAAATATTTCTTGCGGTATGTTTTGGCAGTCAGTCGTGTCGATGGGTATCCAAAGTACACAACCATTTAATGTCTGTCCTCTCTATATGTGTTGTTTCTATTGTCTAGTAATTGATAGTAAATATTAAAATCGATATCAACGTCGAGATAGTGGTCGATATCATAGCACTTGGATCCGTTGAATATGTTTATGAACTCCACTATCAATTAAAGACACAATTCATTCACACAAAACATTTTCACCACAAATATGTAGAAATGTTTAGATTATGAGAAAACAACAAAAATTATATGATAAATACAATTTTCGTAAACTTATTAAATATCTCCAAAATAAATATTAGATATGTTTTTGTTGCAAACAATTTTTTTGCGAGTCCACACAAGTCTATACATTATTTATTGAATATATTAGAGAATTTCCTTTTATTTATTTATTTATTATTACAATTTTGTATATATTTAGTGCTGATAAAAGCGACTTCAATGAAAAACACTCAGCACAGGGAGGGGAGGGGATGAAGTTAAATGAAAAATGAAAAATGGAAATCAAAAGTGAAAATAGCCATAAAAATAGTGTTTGCATTATGAGGTGTATTGAGGGAACCTTAGGTTTTTCTTTGAGCTGTCTGTCTGTGTTTTTTGGGTGAATCCCTAACACCACCCGCAGTCATGTTCGGCACAGGGAGATAGATCGGGATGAAGAACCTGCCTGTGCTCCGCTCGCTGTACAGCACCGGCACTCTCTCTGTACGTATTACCAGTACAGTGACTGGCAATGAGAGGTAGAGGTTTTGGTTCGTGTTATTTATACCGTATATCAAGTGTTTTTGTGTTGTCTTACAGAATATATGCACTGTTTTCGTATTATATAATATGGATTTCTCAACAAAAATTACTGTTCATTAGTAACAACACGAGAGAAGTCATTGTTTGGAGTCATTTGCAGTAAACTCTAGTTTATAGTGAAGTATAAGTTATACAAAGTTTTCTGACATCCAATGCATTCATAATAATTGTTATATTACAGAGAGATAGAAATTCGTTAAGAGAGAGAGAGAGAGAGAGAGAGAGAGAGAGAGAGAGAGAGTTTAGTGAGTAGTGAAGGGAAAACAAAATTAAATTAAATTTTAATTCATTAGTAAAGCTTAGGGATGCAAAAAAGGTATCTACACACACACTCTTGATATAAACGCTGAGAAATATGCAAAAAACAAATCTAGACTTTTAAAACAGAAATTATATGAAAATTAATTATATGTAAAATGCTATTCAAATTATAAATGTAACACAACTTTGCGCTTTTGGTCTCTAGTTTTATGTGTCCTTTAATTTTTGTTTTCTTACTTTGAATCTGTTTTATAGCCTTAAGTGTGAAATATTTAAATGTATTTAAAATATATTCTCTTAATATAAAAACGCGTTTACGATATAAAATAGTCATTTAATAAGTGCCGGTGCGCTCACTCGGATACCCAGTGGTAGGGTATATAGAGTGTGAATTTTGGTCCCAAATGTAATTGAATTATTATGATTACATAATATTGTTTAGTAAATAATTGGCACTAAGAATGCATACAATCATTAGTGATATTCAAATGGATGTCAAATACATATGGATTTAATGTCTATTTTTCTTATCATTAATATTTTTGTATACGAAATGTGTTTTCCATTTGAATCTTAAATTGAATACAATTGACATGTTTTAGCATTTAATGTCAATTTCCGCCACAAATTGGTCACGAAATTAATTATAAAAATAATGCTTTTAATCATTGCTGACATTAATACGATCCTGATGCTTTTTATATGATTAATATGTACCTGGACCAGACCCATTAGAAAATAATGGCCTAAAAATGTGGTGGAAATTAATTTTTCAGACAAAAACTCATTGAATGGATGAACAAAATATGAGTTTGAGTTTAAAGTCTCCTCTTTTTTTGGTTCAAAAGATTTTTGTTCACAAAAAAATCAAAATCAGACCAAATCGTAGCCAAACCAACACATATATCCAGTGAAAAAAGGTCTCCCTTTCCCCCCTCTCCGAGGCCTCCCCTCATCGCAAACACACACAAACCCAAGCACTTGGACTTGAAATACCAGTTCCCATCACACCCTACCCTAGCGTTTGGAGCGCATGTTTGAAGCGCAAGCGCCCGGCTATGAGACTACCAGTGCCTCAGCGAACAGTGCACTGAGAACTGGTATTTCCAGTCCAACAGAATCGGTGTTTGAGTCAGTATTCAGTGAGCAGTGGAACCGTACGGTTGTGTCGATACGGATAAACTCGTTATCTCTCTGCTTGTGAGCCATTCACTGAAACATTGGATTTTCAATTCTTTCGCTCAGTTATGGACTGGCAGTCAGTCTTATATGCCTGAGCTTTACATACAAACCAAACACTGTGTGCCGAGAGTCCAAACCTCTCTCTCATATGTATCTCCGAGTCATTGGATTTTAAGTGGAAATGTATTTTGAAGTCTTGAGAAAAATCAATTGATTTTATTTTCGACTAAATATTTTTTAAAGTGAATTCTCATTTTGTCTCATTTCATAATTTTTTGTGCGAAAAAAGCTTTTAAAGAATTAATTCATATATAATACAAATGTATTAATACTTGTGAACAAGAATTTTAGTTTTCAATTCATTTCGACAAAAATCTTTTCGTTTTGTGTTTTTAGTAAAGTTTTTAAGTTTTATTTCCATTAATATTGTAATAATATTCTGTAGTAAACGACAAGATTTTTCTCTATAATTCAAACATGAGTTCTTCGGAAAGGCATGAATTAGTGTCTCATCCGTAGTGACACCACACCATCACTGCCGAGGAATATATATATATTTCTGTGTCGATCTTCACGGAGAAGATATATGTGTGGATCCGTCTCTCGACACCTCTTGAGAGCCCATTCCGACACATAATCGGCCAAACATTATACCCAACGAAATGCCATTCAAATAATAATTTAGTTGATTATCATTGAAATCAACGAAAACTTTAATGAAAAATAATTAATAAGATTTCTCTACGAATAACATGAGGGCTAACCAAATGAGTCGGCGCTCGACCAGCGCCTCCACTCTCATCGCACGGCTGGCGGCTGTGCTGTTGATGGCCAGTCACCAGTACTGGCCAGTCGTACAGACGGTGCGCTACGTGGCCCCCGAAGACTGTGATTGGAAGACGACTACATTGACGACACCGGACTCGGGCTCAGCTACCGGTGCCGGTGCTGGCAGTGATAGTGTACTGTTAACGTGTAAACTGCGGACAGTGAACGGGGCCTTCGACTCCACCAACTTTAGTCTGATTCAGGCCCAGCACACCACTGGCCTCACCATTATATGTGATGATATACTGTTTGAAAGTTCCTTATCTAACCGTTCATTCGAGCACCTGACCCAACTCCGGGAGCTGTCGGTGGACAGGTGTAAGCTGCCGGAGCTGCCACTACTCACCTTCCAGGGCCTCTCGCAGTTGCGGAACCTCACGATCCGCACCCATAACGTCAATTGGGGTGATCTGTCGCTTAAGATACCGACCGGCGGTTTACTGACACCCGTGCCGAGGGTCCAGCGGATAGACCTGTCGACGAATGCCATCTCATGGCTGCCGGAGTCGCTGTTCTGTAACCTCCAGGAGCTGTCGTTCGTGAATCTGACGGCCAATCAGTTCCAAGAGGTCATCAGTTTTGGCTTCTCCTCCAAAAGCAAAGACAGACAACAATTGCAGTGCAAACTCGACGCCATCACCCATTTGGACGTGTCGTACAACCGCATCAAAGTGCTGACCGACCGGGGCTTCGGGCTACTGGCCCGCCTCCAGGCCCTGTCCCTCCATCACAATCAGATCAGTCGCGCGGAGGAGACGTCGCTAGCCGGCCTGTCGGGGCTGACTGTGTTGGACATGTCTAACAACCAGTTGGTGGCCCTCCCGCCCAAGTTTTTCCAGCCGGTGGCCACCAGTCTCACGGAACTGTACCTCCAAAACAACAGCATATCGGTGCTGCCGCCCGGACTGTTCAACGCCTTGGGCCAGACGGTGCTCCTGGACCTCAGTCACAACGAGATCACCAGCCACTGGATCGGCACCGACACGTTCGCCGACCTGATACGGCTGGTGCAGTTGGACCTGGCGTTCAACCGGCTCAGCCGTATCGACGCCCAGACCTTCCGGTCGCAGTACAGCCTCGAAGTGCTTCAATTGCATCACAACGAGATCGAGACCATCGCCGACACCGCCTTCCAGTCGCTCTACAATCTCCACACTCTAGTCCTCAGCCACAACCGGCTCACCCGACTGGACGCCCTGTCCCTGTCGGGCCTCCACGTGCTCAACACGCTGGCCGTCGACTCCAATAAGTTGGACTTCATTCACGGCCAGGCCTTCAAGAATATCACAAATCTCATGGAACTGAACGCCTCGTCCAATCGACTGGAGTCCGTCCCCCCGGCCATCAATACACTGCAGTTCCTGCGAAGTCTGGACCTGTCGTACAACCGGATCATTGAGATCGACAACGCCTCCTACCGAGGCGTCGACCAGCTGTACGGTCTGAACCTGGAGGCCAACCAAATCGGGAACCTCTCGAAGGGTATCTTCTCGGACCTGCCATCCCTTCGCATACTGAATTTGGCCAAGAATAAGATCCAGGGCATCGAGCAGGGTACTTTCGATGACGTGCCCGACCTGCACGCCCTACGCCTGGACAGCAATTATATTGTGGACATCAACGGCCTGTTCAGTAATCTCCGGGATCTCCTGATGTTGAATATATCGGTCAACAAAATCGGTTGGTTTGACTACGCGCTCATACCTATCGGCCTCCAGTGGCTGGACATACACGAGAACCAGATCGACAATCTGGGCAACTATTTCGAGTTGGAGTCTGTGCTCAAACTGAGGACTTTGGACGCCAGTGTCAATAAGATCCAGGAGTTGGACGCCTCGGCCCTCCCCAACGGCATCGAAATGGTGTTACTGAACAGCAATCACATCAAGAAGATCGCGCCGTTCGCTTTCATGGAGAAGCAAAACCTGACGCGAGCCGACCTCACCAGCAACCGGCTGACCACTTTGGACTCGAACGCCTTCCGGCTCAGTAAAGTGCCGCTGAGACGCCCGGTGCCCGAGTTCAGCGTCGCCGGCAACCCATACCTGTGCGACTGTACGATGGAGTGGCTGCAGAGGGTAGCCAATGGGGACGAGTCGCGGCAGTACCCGCGTATGGTAGACGTGCAGCAGATTGAGTGTCAACTGGCGTTTGCCAAACAGCAGGGTCTGGTGCCGCTGACCCGGGCCAACTCGTCCCAATTCCTGTGCCCCTATAAGTCCCACTGTTTCGCTCTGTGCCACTGTTGCGAGTTTGATGCCTGCGATTGCGAGATGACCTGTCCGGACAACTGTAGCTGTTATTACGACCAGACCTGGTCCACCAATGTGGTTGACTGTAGCGGGAAGGGCTACAATAGTGTGCCCGCGCGACTGCCCATGGATGTGACCGCACTGTATTTGGACGGCAATGATATCTATACCCTCAGTAGCCATACGTTTATCGGACGCAAAAATATGCGACAATTATACCTGAATAACAGTAATATACACGCCGTCGGGAACAACACGTTCAACGGGTTGGTGAACCTGGAGGTGATTCATCTGGAGTACAATCAGCTAACGGCGCTCAACGGCTACGAGTTCGCCCCATTGTTTTACCTGAAGGAACTCCATCTGCACCACAACCGCATCCACAGTATCCACAACACGACATTCATCCACCTGAAACAGCTACAGGTGCTTCATCTGGAGTACAACGCCATAGTGGTGTTCCAGACGGCGGTGCTCAGCCATAATAATAAGCTACAGTCCCTCTACCTGTCCAACAATCTGTGGTCGTGTGAGTGCAAGTTCATGGAGCGCTTCCAGCAGTGGATACAGGCGTACGGGTCGGCCCTACTGCGCGACTCGACAGACATCCGGTGCTTTCACAACACGTCGTTCGTGGGCACCTACATCTGGGACGTCAACTCGACCTCCTGTGCCAACTCGACAGCGGTGGCCGAGGGTCGAGGCGACCAGAAGGCCGTCTCGTTTCTGCCAAACGCCTTAGTCGGCGACTATCTCATCATAATTATCGTCATAATGTGTATAATACTGGTTGTGCTCATACTGTGCGGCGTCTACCGGAAAGCCATCAAAGTGTGGATTTACAGCAAATACGGGATCCGACTCTTCCAGCGGACCCGATATACGCCGGAAACGGAGAAACTTTTTGACGCTTTCGTCTCGTACTGCAAGAAAGACGAGTCATTCATCGCCCAGATATTGGCGCCGGAGCTCGAGTGCGGTCCACCGCCGTATCGGCTGTGTCTACGCTATAGAGACCTACCTATGAGTGTATACATGGCTGAGGCCATCACGGAGGCCATCGAGTGCTCGCACCGGACTATTATCCTGCTGTCCGAGCACTTCCTGAAGTCCGAGTGGTGTCTGTTTGAGCTGAAGGCCGCTCACCGCGAGTGTCAGATCAATAAGCAGCACCGGGTGGTCGGCGTGTTGTTAGATAAATACAATTTGACTGAATTAGACGCCGACACCCGGCTGTGTCTGGCGTCGGTGCCCATCGTCCAGTGGGGGGAAAGGCGTTTTTGGGAGAAATTACGCTATTTAATGCCACCGGCCAGGGGTCAACTGAAGCCCATGAACGTGGGCCCCGATGTCAGGCCATCCCTCGAGTTTATGCGGACTATGAACACGAAAATTGTTTAATTGTTTTGTGAAATTACTTTCCGATGATCTGATTGCGAGATTTGTTTCGCTTTTGTGTGTCGACTCGTCAATGGATTTATTATTGGATGGCTTTTAAGGCATTTAAAAGTTTGTTGATTAATAAGACATAGGTTTTGAAACACAAAAATGTAATGAATTTTGTAATGAAATTCTCGGAGTATTTCGCGACGAATTAATTTTTAGAAATTTAACAATTGTAAATAATATTATATATAAAATTTTAAATAATATAAAATAGTTTTCTATGAATTTTTTGAGACGCGGAACAGGTGTACGAGAAAAATGATTATTGTTTTTCTCATTCATCTGCGAAACTCTCGATAAAAATATTGTTTGTAAATATATTTAACGCGAAAAATCAATGAAAATTATCAATAAATTATTTATTTGTGCTCTTAATGTGACAAGACTTTCGTTTTTATTCCCACAGAATATTCTGTGGGCGTTAAGTATTTGCGAGAATATTCTGTATATATATATATTCTCGTGTCTCTAATGTGATGACACTTTTTCTCTCGGCGTCTAATTCCCCGACACATAGGCTTACGACTTATGAATGCATTTCTCTGAGAGATTTTTATGCCTTAATTCCTTGATTTTTATTTATCTGTCGGATTGCCTCTGCCTTTCCATCTCTTGATATTTGCTGACTGACTGCCTGTCCATCACCGGCTCACTAGTCGTACGCTATCTGATGGCTCGATATAATCTTTTATTGTTTGTCGGATAATAAACATCATAAGTATGGCATCACATCCATGGCGTTGATAATGAATTTTTGACATTTTCTATACAGATATACACGGAATAAGTGTTTATTAAAAACACAATACCAAATATACTACAATTTTTTTGTGATTCAAATATATTAAGCGTGTTATAGAAAACTTTTTTCTAATGATTTATTTGCCTTTTGCTAGAAATTATTACTATTATTGTTATTAATAGCAGTTATTAATGACAATGCAATATATTATAATTGAGCCCTAATTCACAAAAATGAATGCATAAGCGACTAATTAAATTGTCAACAAAAAAATCAAATCCCATACAAATATACGTAAGGCTTGTATGCAATTTGAATATAATTTTCATACGCACTGAACATAATGTGTGTATAAAAAATTAATTGCAATTATCTTAAGCTACGGAAAAAACAGCTCAGAAAACAACTAATTATTAGAAATTATATTCAAACAAAAAAAGACTTGAATAAAAATACTGTTATATAATGTTTGTAAGTGTATGCTGTGTTTTGCATGATATTTATATACAGCAATTCAGTATAGATTTTTGTGCGCTGTATATAAAATTAAGGCAAAATAATTATATTTTATATGCAATTATTTTAAGTACACCGAAAATTTATTCAAAATTTTATTTAAACTATCTCTAAATATACATAAACAGTTTGTGTGCGTTTAATATAAATTAATTGTTTGACTTTTAATAGCCAGATCTTATCGTAAAGTTTTATTTTGGATGTTTATTTCCATGCATTTCATTTGAATCTCGGTATTAGTAGCGATAATAAAAGTTATTATATTTAGAAATTATTTGCTATCTATTAATATATTTATTTTGTAAAAGTATTTCCTTCCTAAGTGTATGTGCGATCTGTTTGACCACTTTATGCACAAATATTGTTTACTATAAGTTTCTCATGTGTCTGATGTGTATTATATGAGAGCCTATGGTTATGCCATAACATAGACTGCCTTTCCTTTTGTATGTTATTCTCAGAAACTAATCACAAGTTTTTGGTCAAAAGATTTTCAGCCGACGCTCAACGCATACATATAGTGTATGGCATACTAGAGAGTCGTTCCTCTCGAGTCGAGAGAAATAACAAAATACCAGTCCATTCACTGGTATCCAAGCGCTCAGCTTATGTATCCTAAAAGTCAATTGTATGGATCAGTCTCTTACAGCGAGCACTGGTATACAGTGTGCCCTCTATTCGCCGACTCACTGTACTATACAGTACTAAATCCAGAATCTCAATGCACCGCAAGATTTATAAAATATTAATTTATCTAGTATATATTTATGGTTTTAATTTATTTTGCAAATATTAATGTAGTGTATATTAATTTATTTTTATTGAAATATTGAAATATTTGCTTAAGTTTTTGGTTTAATTGCAATTAATTGACAACAAGTGACCGGAATTAGTGCATATGGGATACACAATGAAGTTATATTTGTATTAATTGTATAAATAGTTTTTCGCTTAATAAGGAAATTCAGATAAAAAGAATAATTATTTGCAATTTATTTTCATTGAATTGCATTTTCTTATCAAATGTCTTCACATAGTTTCCGACGTTTAATGCATTTAACAGTTAATAAAAATAACAAAAAGAGACAAATTCTTAATTGAATGCAATTGATTGATAAGACATTTGTCTACATATAAAACACATTTGTATTTATTTATAAACTTTTGTCTTATAATTCAATGTCTTATATATTTGTAGCAAATGTCAGCGAAGTTGTCTGTAAGGTTATTATTAGTATAGAATATAATTAATGACTCAGTATTCGTGATAAATCACCAAATTTTATAGCAAACAATCACATTATAATTAAGTTGCTTATAATGTATATTAATTACACATTTGTATAATTTAATTGCTAATGGGCTCTACTTTAACAGTGAATTATTGTGTAAAATGTTTAGAATATTCTGTATTATTGCTATTTGGTGTGTATTTTGCAGTCAATTCTGTATACACTGTAAAAGTGATTGCAATGAGAGCTCAGTCTGGCTGTTGACCACTTCCACCACCACTTCATTGTTCTTATGAACCATTATTGACAATGTCTTCAGTGAATGACATCCCTTGCCTTCTGGTGCTCTCATTCCCTCCTCATGTCGTTAACCATTATTATGACTCTAACACCAAAAGCTAATGCGAAGGCTGTCTGCATAGTGTAAGTGTCTGTCCATTGGTTTTGCTGGTCGTGTATGTACTCGGAGGCAATGGATGGCTCACAACAACATCAAGTTTAAGGCCTAATTCAAGCCAACCATGACTTTCATCGTAATATTCTCTTTTGCTTTCTCTCTCTCGTCTTAATTCTCACTTAGAGAGAGAGAGAGAGAGAGAGAGAGAGAAATCAGAAATTAACTTTCGGTTCGCGTTTTGCGAATTTCTCATTCACTTAGACATTATGTCTAAATGTTTTAGACTTAGTTTCTTAAGATCTCTCTCTCTCTTTCTCTCTCTCTCTCTCTCTCTCTCTCTCAACACTCATTCCTAACTATGATTTACAAAAAAAACTTTTATTTCAATTTGAGAGCACTTTTTGCTTCGGAATAGTGAGTGAAAGTGATAGAGAAGTCTCAGTCAGTCAGCGCTGACGTACAGCCAAACCCAATGCAACTGTCAATCGATTTTTATAACACAAAAACCAATACTTATACGATAGGCAACAGCCAAATGTCAGGGAAAATGTGCCAAAAATACATTAAAAACCTATGTTTCGACAATTTTTGTCTATGACTTAACATTTGAAATAAAATTTGTATGACAGACAGTGTATGCATGATATGCATAGTTAGCGCACTGGTAGCCCCTGGGTCCAAATCAATGCTTTACAAGCATTATATTTGTTTGCCATTCGTATCAAACATATGATATACTCGTGGGTGTCTTCACATGTCTTTCCACTGTATCACTGGATATGCAATGAAAGACAAATCTGTAAATATCTTAGGAGGAAAGGGATTTTAGATAGACCATTGTTTACTGACAATTGTTTACAAATACCATATATAATATGTTATATGAGTTTTATGTGGCCCTGAGATAGAGAGTGAGAGAAACATGTCTTCCCTTTCATTGAGTTCCCAATTATTCTGTTATAATGAGAGACAGAATTTCGTGGACCAAATAAATGGCATAAAAATACTGATGAAATTTCTGCACTCTTTTTATTATTAAGTTAGTAATGATTTGCTTATATAGCGATTCAATGAACACATTCTCTCTCTCTCTCTCTCTCTCTCTCTCTCTCTTATTGATGCGATAGAAACAGTTAAGAATTACAAGACTTTTGACAAAACACTAGATCTTATCGGATGAGAGAGAGAGAGAGAGAGAGAGAGAGATTCGCATTCTTTTTGTACAACAATTGAATGTGTGATCAGAAAATATATTGTGAAGAATGGCATTAAATTAAAGACACATATAATAGATAAAGGCTTTACACAACAGACACACGGAGCTACTGGTGCACACATACGACGATAATTGGTTGGTTGCTATCACTGTCACTATTGTCCACTAAATACAACACAATATCAGTCTTAAACGTAAAATACAATCGACTATCAGTTAAAACAAAATTGTTGGTAAAATGAAAAATTAAATTTGGTTTCAGTTTAGGATATTATTGGCCAAAATTCAATAGCCTTTTGATATTTACGTTGTTTTCTATTGATTAAACCTCCGATGTTATGGTGTGGTAAGGGTAGGGGTTAGGCGTGTATTGAATACATTGTTTACTAAATAGCACTAAATATTTCCTTAATATTTTTGTTTATTTAGCCATCGATTCCTTAAGTTTGAGACTTTATTAATTATTTAATTATTTATTATTTTCCAAACTATTAATTTCATTAATTATGTAGCTTTCTATCAATTTATAAATTATAGTTTTTCTAATTATTTTGTTTTTGTTATTGTTTGCAATTCTCCACCAAAAAATATCCAGTTTTTCATATATTGATACCTTTTATCCGATAAATTGCTGCTAAAATAATTCATAACATCTCTCTCTCTCTCTCTCTCTCTCTCTCTCTCTCGAGTCAGTCTTACAACTAATCGATGTCTCAAACATCAAAATAATTAATTACTAATAAATAGAAAATATCTAAGAAAATAAAAATAATAAAAAGTTTATGCAAAACACAATTCTCATAGAAAACTAAAATACAAAATTAATTTTCAATGTTTTAACTCGAGATTAAG